AATCTCATTAAAAATGCCTTTGCTATCGAAAGTTGTGATACGAAAATCCTTAAAAGTATAATATCTAACGAAAATGAGAGACAAAACGAAACACAAAGAGAAAAAAATTAAATTAGAAATACGAGTCAATTAATTAACTCGTTGTTTATAACTAATGATATGATTGCGTGAACCTCTCCTTAACTCAGACCCCAAACACTCCACTCATAAACTATTTAGTATTTAATTTATTATAACATAATTTCTAATGAATTTCCAAACCTAAAAACATACACATAAAAAACCGTCTGCCAATGTTTTTGTTGCTAATCCGTGCCTTACATATATTCATAAGACATATACACGAGCGAAGAATAACACAGAATATTCTGTTAATTTAAAAATATAATCATTTGATATAAGAAATGAAAGTTTTCTCCGCAGACGAAGAGAGGGGAGCGAAGCGTTGAACTAACGAAACGCTTTTTGGCCACAAATACCACGATTTCAGTTCATTTGTAGCGTAGAAGAGGTCAATATCCTCTTTGCATACAATCCTATGCTGTTCTCACTGTACAGTCGATGCCGTTTACGGCTACCCAACACTATATTAAAGTTATACATAATAGCTATTGGGTGTTATAATAACAGCTATGAATTCTGGTATTAAATAAATTAATATTTAAGGTTGATGACAAAAATATTTATTTTATTCAGGATTAACCTATTTATGAATTTTAATTAATTAATCTGTCAATTAATTACTTGATATAATCTCGTAGTAAAAAATGATTTTAAATCTTTTAATTTAATTAAATATTAATAATAGTTTCATTGTATATTAATAATGCAACTATTTTTAATTAAATTTACATGAACAATAATTGAAAATGTTATTTATCATGTAAATCCATTACACAAACAATCGATTTGTTTTTATATAAAAGGAGTTTTAGTTTAAAATTTTATTTTTTATATACATTTCTCTAATGATTATTATTGTCTTAAAAGTCTAACAAATAGTATATAAGAAAACATTACTGGAAAGGAAACAATTGAACTGAATTCTGGTCTTAAGAGTTGTAGTCGTTTAGCAGAATATTCTGTGAGACTCAATGGCTGTGAGGCTCCCTCTATGGGTCACTTGTGTTCATCAATTCATTATACAGTACTTATTTTTAACCAATATGGTTTTTCATGTCAATTTGCGTGAATATTTAAATTGTATTATTCATCTAAAGTGTATTACATACAATATAACATACGAAAACAGTATTAAATACGATATAACAAGTATTTAATATTGCTCATAATTTTTAAGATAATAGTTTAACAAATAGGTTCACTATTAATAATATCAGTTGCAAAACTTAAGATATGATTCGATTATAGTTTATTTATGAGAGCTAATATTAACTAGAATTTTTTTACATAATCAACATATAAAATTATAAAGGAGCTAATTTAACAAGTCTATTTAAATTGACTGATTATGATGATAACACAAATATTTTATTTCTTTAAAATCACAATATTTTAAACAAGTATTTATTGTTAAATGCTTTTACAGACGTTTGACACATAATTTTTTGCTCAAAATATATCTTAAGTAATTGTTGTGTTGTGTCTAACATTATATCCGATTAACGCTATTATTCTGTTCATAAGATAATAATTTAATGTTTAAATACTGTCTGACATTATATGAGGTTTGGTTAGAGAAAAGTGCGAAAAATATATATAAAAGGAAATAAAGAAAGGATTATAAGTCTGGGCGAAGAAGTGGTGATTCTTAATATTTAGCGAAACGTTAAGTAATGACATCCATATTAAAGACCATTAATTTAAAAGTACGGATTTTGATGTCTAATTACGATATAATAAATATGCGCTTTAATTGACTTAACAGTAAGACAACGGGTAATGAATTTTTCATCACTTTTTGTGACCCATTGTATACGAAACTAATAAACTTATATGTATTGCCTGTGAATTCAATATCTAAAAGTGCAGCAAAAAAATGCACCCAAAATATACTCTCTGTTTGCGATTCATACCCGATATTTGGCGTCAAATTTTAATTTAATTTCTTTGCATACAATATAGAAATATATAGAAAAATTTCATAAAATATAAGACAAACTGACAGCTCATCAATCCTTTCGTTTGCGAAAATATAAAATCATTTATTAAAAATCGATTTTTGCCTTTTATTTTGTTTCCCATTTTTTGAGTGTTTTTTACTCTCATTTTTACAATTCTTAAGAATGATATTTCGAGGAAATAAAAATTTCACAAAACAAAAAGTTTCCGAAATTTGAGACTCAATTCTGTGCGACGCCGAGAGAGCGAGAGAGAGAGAGAGAGAGAGAGAGAGAGAGAGAGAATAAAATGAAATTTTAAAAGTAAAATATTATAGTAGAGTCACACTATAATATATATACAATTTTCATTTGAATAGATTATACTCGGATTCAGATGTGATATAAGAAAAAAGTTTCTCTTTTTGTTATTTTGATTGAATCTAAAGAGTCTTCTTCTGGTAAAGCAGTTCATCGTATTATAAGTTATATTCGTTTTGTGTGTATTTCATGTGGGAATTCAATTGTAAAATATATATATAAAATAATGAAAAACTTAACATCTGCTCAAACTTATAGCGCTGTATATGTATTGTACTTAAGATTAATTTTCATTTGTTTTAAAATTTATATATAACTTATACATGTATGTTATATAATTTACTCTTTCTATATGTATACGTGTTTTGCAATTTATATAATGATTTCATATAAAAACAATCATTTCATTCAATTCGAGACAATTGTGCATAAAAATCGAGTTTTACAATAGTTTTTGCTTTTCATTTAAAAGTTGTTTTTCTGTGAAATGAAATGAGAGATAAAATACAAACAGAAATCGATTGCATTAATGCTTTAAATGAATGCATAATAAAGGGTTTGCGAGGATTAAAATGAATATTCATTTTATTACTGCCTATTTCTCGCACTGTATTCACTGTTTATTCATTAAAATGCATTTATTTATATCTATTAATCAATTATAAAAATCTATTTTCCATTTCTATGTTCACTGTTTTGTATTAAATGAAACAACTATTTCAGTGTTATTTTTATTGGCCTCAAAACTAATGCATTTATTGATTGCACTGTATTTATAACATTTGGGAATAATTTTTGCCTATCATTTCAGTGGAGACACATTTAATTCATTATTTATTTCGGTACCAAAAACAGTGGTAATTATTTATTTATTTATTTGTTTATATCATGGTGATTATTTATTTACATTTTGTTATATAATTATTATATACAGTATTTTTATATGGCTATAGAAAAAATAATAATTGCAATTCTGGGATACAATTTAGGTCTAAAAATATATTCCCTTTTATTAACAACTCAACGATCTTTAGATTAATGAATAGCTTTATTAAATAAATCTAATATATAATAGATTAATACAATATTAGTGAATATGAGCGCCGTTTTTATGAACAAAACAAATATAGACTTTTTATATACCATTTATAAAACATTAATTTGTAGTCAAAGACTGGATTTTGCGATAAAAAACACATTTAGTGTTAAAAATATTAAACAAAAAAGATATAGCAATTTAATTAAAGGAAATACCTTTTATTTTGTAAAATAAATGTTACATTAAATTAATAATTAAACAAAAATATCATTAATTATAAGAGATTATAATAAGCAATAGTTTATACGAAAAACATATAATTTTATATTGCAATCAAAATAATCCGCTTTAAACACGGAATTGATTCACGGATTTAAAAAGTAGTGTTATTTTACAAAACGATATCTAATTCACTACAATGTAGTCGTGAATGATGTCTAACGTCTATTCAAAAATTACAATGAATTTGATAATAAATTTTTAGCCACTCTTTCAGCGTATTTCCAGCGAAACCTTTAGAAAATAAAATAATAAAAATTTATAAATCACTGGATTTTAATAGCCATTAAAAAGAGATAGAAATATATTATGTATTTTATGATTTGGAAAATGCTTTTCAACACAAACTTTCTCTGAGAAGTCGTGTCTCTCTACTCTCGACAGCAAAAAAAGTTTTCATAGAGTTATAAGTATTGCATTTGTATTACATCTTAAGTGTGTTTGCGATTAAGTTTTTGCAAACATTTTACGTAAAATTAGTTTCCATTTCAGAGAAAAAGAGATGAAATTTATTTAAATCTGTGCTTCAAATTAGTGGAGACTTAAAGCATATATACTATTATAATGTTATAGTAAAGGATGAAAATCATTATATAAATATTATAAAAGTACATCACTTTTTTAATAAACATCAGAGAAAATCCTTGTAATTCTTTGCGTAAACAAAAGTGGAAATGAAAGCGAAATTTTTTATATAAATAAAATAAACGAAAAGAAAAGCAATTAGACGTAAATGTGTTGAAAACACAGAATAATATTAATGTGTTTTAGTGAGAAATATTGTGAGAAAACAGACAAAAAACAAAGCCCTGGTATTAATGGCACTCAACATAACGCTAATAAAGAAGTTATTAATGAAAAATATCAGTGAATAATAAGTAATTTTTGTTTCATTTTACGAAACTTTGTGTTCGCACGTAAAGGCAAACAACACACTGGCATTCAATGGTATTAATATTTATATATCATATAAAATTGCTTTTAATGCAAACATATTATAACATTAATAAACTACGGATTCTTTATTATAACGAGAAAAAAGAGTATTGCAATCGATAGGCAAAAGTCAGGCAAAAAATGCAGAGAAAAACATAACTGTATTCCCATTTCATAATATCCATTGACTATCTTTTTGTTTTGCGTTTCTGTGTGTCTGAAAAACACATCTTTTTTTCGGTTAGAAATCCGTTTCCATTACATGAATGATCGGTTCAATTAGTTTTGTGTTTGATTTGTCATAAATTAGTTAATAATTGTTTGGTTTGAAGCAAAAACAAAGGCCCAGAGTTTGTTTTGAAGAGATGCGGGCTTTTGTTAAATTGAATTTTGCGGTCAAATTCCTGGTCGTGGCGTTCAGTTCAGTGGCTCTCGTCTACGAGACATCAGAGTTGGCGACCCTTTACTACAAATACCCGACTGTTGTGAACGTGAAGTTAGAGAAAGAGATGGTCATTGACTTGCCATCGATGACAATCTGTGTCTCCATGTTCTTCACGAGAAGCGTATTGAAGGCAACGTTTGGCCAACAGATGGCAAAGGAATTGGAAGCGATTGGCGCCACAAAAGACACCGACAATAAGACAATTGAATTAAATGAGAGCAAAATATACGAAAAGTATTCGGAATTAGCGTTAAAACAGTTCCCAATCGAAAGCCTGTTTGCGATGAGTCCTAAGGAATCGCATTTCATTTCCTGTAATCTCTCTCTTCCTCTTCTGGTGAGCTCTGAGCGCGGATTTAACTGTCAGTCCGTATCCAAAGTGATCGAGACTTTTCATTCAAACGGCAAATGTTTCACATACTTCTCACGGCTTAATCAAAATCTAGTCGATCCCCGACTTTATAAAGTATCCCTCTATCAGGACTTGAGAGCATCGCTGGGGAGTATTGCCAGCATTCAAATCAAATTCCCTTTAGAAGAGTACCCTAATTACCTGGATATAGCCCCGGCATCCATATCCATACATCCGCCCAATATGTTGCCCAATAACGGCAAAGTCCATAAACTCAGACCAGGTATTACTTCAATCACAATCTTTGCACCTAATATTCAATTCACAACAAATCGCTTATATATTGCATTCAATTCGTTTGGGTTTATCTCTTTTTATATTAATTTTTTGTGTCATTTATTTGATTTTTTCGTTTAGTATTTATTTTATTTTAAATGAGATTTTCCCTTATATTGAGCACTATTTTTATTGCAATTAATATAATATTCTTTACTCAATCGGAAGATAAGTACTGGAGCTTAGGTTCGGGTCATTGAACGGCACACAAAAGCATTGTTTCATCCCATATGTGTTGTACTGTATATTCTGTGTACGAAATAGTGATCTAAACAATAAAATTTATTTTCAGGCTTTAATTATGACATTTACTTCTCGAAGACGTTGTCGAAGTTATTGCCGCCGCCTTACGAGACAATGTGCACCATATATCAGACCAATGATCCAAATAAGCCTCAATCCCGAGCAGACTGTGTCGACAAATGCATTGTCTCTGTTTGGAGCCATTTATGCAATTGTACCCCAAATCACATCAGGTATTCATTTTAACTGCTGTTAACACATAACCAGATATCAAAAAAGCCCTTAATTTAATTGCACGTCAAATGATGACCAGTATTTGCTGTGTTTTGTGCCAACACTTATTGCCAATCCTAACGCTAATCAAACATTAGAAAATCATCATTTGTTTTCGTTTATGCTTTTTTTATTATCGGCAAATTCTTTAAGGCTTTAAATGCATTTATAAAGCAATTAAAATGTCATTTTAATTACTTTGTAAACTAAAAAAGATTTGTTAAATTGTTTGTTAAGAGTTTGTATTGTTTTTTATTTGGCTGTCGTTTTCTCTTATGATTTCTTACATATAGTATCAGAAATGAAAGACAAATTTATAGTCTTTCGTAGAAAAATAAAAAACAAATTATGAAAAATGTTTGCTATAATGTTAGCGTTTGGGAAGTTATGGATGTTATGTATGATGTTATGTATGATGTTATGTATGATGTGAGGGCTGATGGGTTTGTGGTCGTGATGTGCTGTCCATCGCAGCGTTGATTCAATTGATTGGATTCGTATGAATGCACTAAAAGTTTTTATATATTATTCGTACGAATGGCTAATCTTATATCAAATTGGGAATAAAAATAGCATTTATTTCATTTGTCTTTAGAGATTTTGTATTACAATAACGATATGATATGATATGTAATGTGTATTCAATGAAAATGGTTTTGCGATTATTAATGTATTGGCGGTTGAGTTGTAGTGTTCGGCGAGACGTCCATCACATGAAGGACTACATGTGCGGAAGGGATGAGTCGGTGAACAATAGCATTGCGGGTGAAATGAGAAATGCATGTTATGATCAATGTTTGCCCGATTGCGTCGATGAAGAATATGACTTTGACGTCGAAGAGACTTCTCATACGAGCGCCTCATCGCCCGCACAGAGAGGAGCCATCAATTATGGCGAACCGGCGCTTAAATTAAGAAAAATGCTCTTTTCTGACATCAATTTGATCCGAAGATTTTCCGGAGACGTCACATACAATCACTCACCGCAGATGCCATTCATTGAATTCATTTGTTATGTCGCTTCGCTCGCCAGCCTATGGCTCGGACTATCGGTGCTCACCATTTATGACTATCTGACAAAGTTTTTGCTCCTAATGTATCGCAATTACAAGCGAATCAATACTCAAAACAACACTCAAATCCAACCCAAACTCAATAATGTATTTGTCGTCTAAAACTAATGACGAGAATATATTTCTTTTATTTTCTCCCAACTCTTAATTAATATAAATACTAATCCAATGCTATTAATGATGAGATATACTAATTGTTTGCAATTGCTTTACATTAACTTATATTTTAAATAATTTTAAATTATTTAGTAATTATTTTAAAAATATATTGAACAGAATCCAGAATATTATTACTATTATTATCGTTGAGTCCATGAATTTATGGGTTGAAAAAAGATTGTGTTAAATATATTGTATGTTATGTTGTGTTCAGTTTGTTATATAAAATATTTTATTTGAAAACATAAGGAATATATTTTATAGTTAAGCGAAAGTGTTTGAAGCGATTAGAGCTCAATAAAAGTCTTCAAATGGTTGTAAAGATTTATTACTGTTAACTGTGTTTTCGTTATACAATTAATAGCACAGAAAGATATAATTCATGAAAATTAATCTCTGATATAAACGATTGCTTTAGTTTTCTGATGTTTATAAAGATTATTATCGCTTAAAGAGTGTTGAATAAAATGTATTAAAAATGGGTTTTAAATTTATTGCTCGCCTACTAATCCATATCTTCTCTCTCTCCTCTCTCTCTCTCTCTCTCTCTCTCTTTCTTTCTCTCTTTCTTTCTTTCTTTCTTTCTTTCTCTCTATAAATATATAAAAATGTTTATAAATAAATGGTTTGACTCTATTTGCAAGAGTTTGTACTCATTTCTACTTTCAATCATTTAAATAATTTATAGCATTGTTAAACAAATAAATGTTTAAAATATTTGATGGTTTATTGCATAACCAATGCATTGTATTTATGCCACAAATGTTTGCCTGGCGTTCACTCTTATGTACATATGTATGACTTAATCAATAATTTTTTGGCAAATTTCTAATTTAATTATAAATAAATACTTTCTCTTTCTTTTTCTCGTTTTTTATGTCTAAAACTTTGATTTTCTTTCTCCAGAATTTCTACACAAATGGGAATAAATTCCGAAATTGAATAACAAAACGAAATATTCTGTGTTTAGTATTGTATAGTATTGTATGTATAATACTATAAGTGATGCGTTTGTTCTTCAAATCGATTTTACTTTTGAACAGAAGAGAGAAAAATATTTTTATTGAGATTCAACATTAGAATATAGAATATAAGATATATATATATATTCTATACTTATATATGTATAAAAATTCAGTGCATTTTTCAATTTCTTTCAATTCATTTCAGTCTTTTATCTTTTATGTCAATTCTCTTTATATTCAATACAATGGCATAAAATGTGTTCAAAAATCTGTTTAAAAACTTCTGTTGTATTCATATTATGTTTAGGTCAACAAAAAACACACAAACTTTTCTATAGAGCGCACAAAAAATATCATTAAATTTATTTTTCAAAATCATAATCCGGATTACGGTTGAGAAGGAAAGGAAACGAGAGAGAGAGAGAGAGAGAGAGAGGAGAGAGAGAAATGTGTGAGAGAGAGAGAGAGAGAGAGAGAGAGAGGGGGGGAGGGAGGGAGAGAGAGAGAGAGAGAGAGAGAGAGAGAGAATATATTATATTTGAGCAAAAATTCGCTAATATTTACACAAGAATTTTGTTTAATTTAAATATTGGATATCATATAATGTGTCTGTCATTCAATAATTAATATCTGTTTTCACTGACGCTCTGCAGAGACTGTTGTGACACAAATTTCCTCCTAAAAAGACAATAACCGTATATTTACTCCATTAGATAAATTGTGAGCGCATCTGGCGATTGGGCCCAACCTTCCGACAGACCAAACACACGCTCTCTCTCTCTCTCTCGTTTCCTTTCCTTCTCAACCGTAATCCGGATTATGATTTTGAAAAATAAATTTAATGATATTTTTTGTGCGCTCTATAGAAAAGTTTGTGTGTTTTTTGTT